TAAGAGATCAACAGGAGTAGGCAATAGGAAAGGTGAGAAGGATAACAATTATACAGTCCTGCTACAGGGTTAGATGTCCTTAGGCAAAGGAGTGCTGTGGGAATTAAGCGTTTAGCAAAACGATGGCATGGGGTGGGAAAAAACTGTCTTTTGTGTCTAGTTGTTTTGCCATGCAGTGCCCTATAGCGGGGTCCCGAGGGGAGTAGTTGAAACAGTTTATGTCCAGGATGTGAGGAGTCTGCAGATATTTTCTCAACCCTCTAAACTGTTGTGACCTTCAGAATGCTAGAAAGCTGCCATAGTGAAGTAACAGCTGTACTGATGCAGGTTTTTTTTCTCCTCTCTTTCCAGTGTAAGAAAAGGGGCATAGCTTGCAAAAAACAAACAAACACGTAACCGTCATGTGAAGTTGGCATTTTGAAAATCCTCCTCTTTCCATCTGTTTGCATTGAAGTTGCTGGCGCAGGAGCCGTGGCAGGAAGGGCTTGCATCAGATATCCCAAGAGATAAGAAGAGTCTCCATAGTTGGCTGTGCCTGTGGACAGTCTGCATCCCTAGCCTGTGAATGGACAGGAACTGTTCCCCCTCCCGACCCCCAAAATGAACCATGCTGTTTTCTCAAGTTGAGGCAAATATTGTATTTTTGGAGTATAAAATGTACCAGAGTATAAGACACACCAAGATTTTGAAGAGGCAAATTTTTTTTAAAAAGTTTTTGCACTCTGCAGACCTCCTGAAAACGGCCCATGTTTTGCGAAAACAGGCCCGGTTTCCCCCCCCCCTCTAAAAAGGGGCATGAATATCCTCTACGAGGTTTGTAGGGTGCTCATGGGGGGTGGGGGCAAAAATGAGCAAAAAACAGTCCGTGTTTCGCTCATTTCTGCCCTCCGCAGCCCCCAGGAGCACTCTGAAAGCCTTCTAAAGGTGGTGTACAGCCATTTTAGTTGAGGGGACAGGGTTTCGGGAGGCAAAAATGCTGTATTCAGTGTATAAGTCGCACCCAAATTTTCAGCCTCTTTTTTGAGGGAAAAAGGTGCACCTTCTACTCTGAAAAATACAGTACTTTAAAAGTGGGCTTCTAAATCACTTTGAAGGTGGAGTAACAGCTTCTCTGAGATCTTTAAGGATGTTTGCTGATAACCAACCATACCGCATGCTATCTTTGTCTCAATCTGGAACATGTGCACTTCCTTCTTTTTAGAGGCCATTTTTCCCCCAAAAGAAAGGAGAAATGTCCCCCGAGTCCCTGATGAATCAGTGTTAACCCTCCATGAGCTGTGATGGAAGTCACATAAGTAGGAGAATTTGTTAAGGAAACTCTTTATCCAAATCTTTGGGCTCCGAATGAAACATTGCATTTCTTAAGCACTATAATAAGAGACCAATAAAAGTCAAATAAAAGTAGAAATAAAGGAAGTGTGGCCTACATTACTCAAGAATGTGTAGGTCAACCTACATTCAGTTCCTGTTAGATGCAAGAAAGAAATGGCAGGGTCTAATCCACTTTTGTCATGGACTTAGGCTAACATTGTACTTTGCATGTGTCATTAATCGCATAAGGCTGCATATAGAGACATAAGGCATCAGCACAACCACAGATACAGATACTCCTCGGGTTATGAATGTAATGGAGCCTGCCCATTTCATTCCTAACCCGAGGATTCGTGGGAGTGAATCTTGTACCTTGAACGGGATCACTTCCTCCTTTCACCCATGCATTCGCTAATTGAATGTGAGGCTCATAAAGTGCACAAGGGGTATTCCAGGGTGGGGCAGGCCATTGGGGGGGGGGGCTACTGATGGAATAGGCACCTGCTTAAGAGTACCCAAGGCTTCCCCAACCCACTGAAATACTTCATATTCCCCACAATTGCTTCCCCCTCCAACCTGTTGCTCTGGGTCACTTACCTTGTGAATATCTAGCAAGCAGTCACCTTTCAGCCATGTGCGCTCCTCTTCACTTCTATTTGGGCCTTTGTAGGCCTTGCCAAGCATGTTGCCGGCCAAAATGGAACTTCTGAGAGGTGAATCCACCTCTCTGATGCTCTGTTTGGGCCTCCGCAGGGCTTCCCTGACCCGTTACAGGCCAAAATGGAGCATTGGAGGGGCAGATTCACCCCTCAAAAACTCCCATTTCGGCTGACAACCTTGGTGAGGCCTACAGAGGTCCGAATGGAACTGCGGAAGAGCGCACATGGCTGAGAGGCTGGAGAGGAGACTGCTTGAGCAGTCAAGAGCCAAAGTGGCGCAGTGGTTAAATGCAGCACTGCAGGCTACTGCTAGATCAGCAGGTCAGCGGTTCAAATCTCACCGGCTCAGGGTTGACTCAGCCTTCCATC